ACTTTTCGATATAATAATTAAATTTCATTTGCACAAGTAAAATTTTCTAAGTAAAATTAACTTAAATCTAATCTTAGTCGACTAGATAAGTCCATATTTACTTAATATGAAAATTTTAAGCAAAAAATCAAAGATTTCTTTTTCACATGTAGTGGGTGTGATAAGAAATATTCGCCATTCGACGACAACGGTTGTTTCTGTCCGTGGCGGGACTTCATGAGGTGGTATCTTAGTATTATATCTACTAGAATAGTAATTCAGTTATAATAGATAACAGCGGAATTAGAATTCGATATAATAATTAATATAATACATTTGCACAAGTAAAATTTCAAATAGAATTAACTCTAAATAATATCTTAATCGATATTACAATTCAATATCTATTTATAATGAAATTTTAAGTTAAGTATCAATGAATTCTAAACACATTTTTTAGGTGTGAATTAGATAGTTCGCCGTTCCACGACAACGCTGTTTCTGTCATTTAAATTAGAACTCAAAGACTTGAAATTCAAAGCATCACACTATCCGAATTTCGACCTTTCTTAAGGGTCCTCGTCAGGTATCTTTGAGGATGAACATAAGGCTCAAAATATAAACAAATTTAAAGCGGGATGGTTGAGAGTTAGAACGAGTGTATGCACTTATATAGAGTTTATAATAGATGGCGTGGGATGACATGTCATTGATGAAATCATCTGAGCAAAAGAACGACGAGCGAATCAGCTTTGACTGATTAGTAATATTTCAATAAAAATGTGATTTCTTCAATCTACTTCCGAAAATGATGAAATTTACGCGTGATAATAATAGATTGCGTCATGTTGCGCGTGGGTAACCTCCAACTATATACATTGGCGCTTTTTTGCAGAACAATTTTTTCATTTTATTTTTCGTTTTTCGTTTGTGGTCGTCGTCGTCGTTATTATATTGATAGGGTACGTATTGCTTCACTAAAGCACAATGTTACTTCATGTCGGTTCATGAAAGACATTATCAGGATTTTATCGTTGAAAAAAATAATCATTTTTAGTTACATAGATCATAATTTTTTCAGATTTATACGTAATCTTTTCTAACATAGTTACCAGTTTACATTTTGTTGATTTGGTTGAATGGTGTTCGATATAAATTTGAAATCATAGAGACAACTTTTAAATAGTAACTATTGCAACAATGAGGAGAGATTACCTAATATAAGAAAACATTAATGAAAAAACACTTATCACAATTAGCACTTACAAGAAATAGGAATGCCTTTTATTTCGACACAGGTACTAAACTAAAAAAGTGCTGGCATTTTTTTTTCCTCATTGTTTGTCACAAGTCGCTATTTACTTTATCTCTGAGTTACCATGACCGGTTTCGTCCGGGCTAAGAGAGTCATTCAGATGGCTTATCTATTTTGAATTTTTGAATAAAATCCAAAACAAGATGTATCTTCAGTGTTACAAATGCGAAATGAACTGGCACTAGAAGAAGTCGAGAATACTGATATGGGCCTGAGATTATCGAAGCTGACATGATTCGGATTTTGTCCTTGCTCAAGGTGCTCATCAGGTAGCTTAAAGACCACTTAATTCGATAGCAGTTAGGAAACAAATAAAATTATCATCTTTCCTGTGATATAATCACTAATTTTTGTCGAAAGTTTACATAAAAGAAACTGTGGTATAAGCTACCATGATGCCGAAATTTCAATTTGAGGAACGGGAGTCATACGATGGCAATTGTGTGCTTTCAAAAATATAGAGAATGAGAGAACTTGAAGATATAATGTTAAGGAAGTCAGGTGAGAAGGTATCAGAAATAACAAGTTTGCTATTTACCCTTCCCATACGAAACAAATTAGAACCGAAATGATTTCTAAATTGAATGCAGATTTGGAAGATATACATGGTCAATTAACTTCGTAAAGAACATAATGTCAACATTTCGAGTATATTTTTTTTTCTATAGTTACATTGAGCCTTTCATTTGATTAGTATGGTAAAGACATTCTACTGAAGATTTTGAAGATGCAAATAAATCATTCATTATTAAAATGCAATGACCTAAGTAATGTCATGAAGACTCTGTTTCTGCTGTATATAATAATATGCTGCGAAACATTGATCAATGTTATTATCTCTTTACGACAAAATGAAGCAAGCAAACTACTTTTGATTTTGTATTTTCTGTTCCCTTTTCAATTCTTTGAAGTAATTATTTTATGTGACCTGTCTATACTTCGCGACAATTCAACAGGTACTTTCCATGTCTACAGTTTGTCTTTTTGTCATAAAACAAAAGAAAAATAATGTCAAAGTTTCTTTCCGATGTACATTCACTGAATAGACGACCATGAACGATTCAAAATTCATTTATTTATTTTCACTACTTCAAAATTTCGGAGAGCTCTTTGGGTATATTTTTTTTTCTTTTCTTCCGATTTAAAATCGACAACCAGACAAGCGTTTGAATGTGTTTTCGTAGCCTTACAGATGCTTCTTTACGTCTCAGATTCGCAAAAAAAAATATACAATCATGATTTCCTCACTGTCCACGTTGAGTGTATTTTATTTTTTATTCTGTAATGCTTTTTCTATCTCTTTTCTATTTCCTTATCTTTATGGTCATAGTTCTAACTTAATTTAACTCGCTCCGTTTACATTCTTTTTTCTAAATATTGGTATAAGAATCTTTTCGTACTAGAAATTTATGAAAAAAAATCATCTCGAATGCTTTGGTATCCATTACTCTTCTTTTCATTTTTTTTCTCTTTGTCTCATTTCATTTCATTTACTTTCCTATTCAAAATGTACGTCTTGAGAAAACAGTATACTGTAAAATAGTTCCTGTACATAGGTGGGCTTATATTCTAAACCCTAGTGCTTGTGTTAAACACATGATTAATAGTTGTTTCTTTTTCGAAATTCTAGGCTGAAAACATTTTGTTACTAATTCTTCAGAAAATTGTGCATGTATCTAAAATTACTTCCGGTAATCCACTGTTCAGGATCATTTTTTGAACACTTTAATCTAAATCAATCTGACATCAATAAGTTTTCACTTTTTGAAGTACATATAACACTCGGAATCAAATCCGAAGTTTTTTCTAATTATTTTAAAAGAGTAATAGGAATCCTTTTTTAATGGTATCCCTTTGTGTACATGAGAAACTCAAGGTTATAGTTGCATAGGTAGCTTCATGTGTTTGGTAGAATGAATGTCTTATTATAAACATGAGCAGGAATGAAATAAAAATTATCCTTTTTCTCGTCTCTGTTGCTCTACCTATTTATTTGAACTTCGATGTGTCTTGTGGCTTCTGTTTTACTCGTCGTCTATTATTTACTTTTCTCTTTCCTAAGAAAAACACTTCTTACATTCGTAAATTCATAATAGAAAGCAGCACAACAAATTTTAAAATCATATTTGTGCTATTTTACATAGCAACCGATATTATTCTTATGAATTTTAAACTTGCAGAGAATACTGTAATTTGAGACAATCACTCAGATATTAATAAACATTTCTTATCATCATCAAATTAAAAAAAGAATCTTCGCAAAACGAAATCTACATTTTTTTATGTATTTTGCCTACTCGTACGAACTGTCTATTCGATAGAGCCGAATTTATAGTCACTTTAAAAAACAAGATTTTACTGTATCACCAGCAGCTTTGCCTATTTCACTGATTAGGAATCGTTAAAATTACTTCCAATGATTTCGCTAAAAACGTAAACACGAATCAATCAAGATATAGATTTTCTTTTCATTTTTATTTACTCTGCTTACTTGTCTATGTTTCAATGTCTGAAGCAATTTTTTTCCAACTGTCTGTATTTC